AACAATTATAGATAATGCTGGGATAAACAACGTTATGCAAAAAAGTTTTTTTTTCTTTTCTCTTCTGTCCTGGTGTAGCTATGTGGGTTAATGTGCTGCACCGTAAAGTTGCTTTGATCTGCAAAGTCAGTGGTTCAAACTCACTTGCTACTCCTCAGAAACCCTATACAGGGTTGTTATGAGTCAAAACTAACTCTATGGCAGTTTACAACAACATATATATTTTGGTTCTATCACAGGTTAACTTTTCAGAAGTGGAATTATTATTATTGTAAAAACATCACAATAGAATAATTTATTCATGTCTGTTTGCTATAAGGAGTCCTGGTATGGCACTGTAAGATAAACACTAGACTGAGTCCGTAAGAGTCAGAATCAACTCAATGGCACTTAACAACAATAACAATGTCATTATTAAGAAGCCCTGGTGGCAAAGTGGGTTATGCATTGGACTGTTAATGGCAAGGTCAGAAGTTCGAATCCACCAGCTGATCCGTAGGAGATAAAGGAGGCTTTCTGCTCTGGTAAAGATTTATAGCCTCAGAATCCCTACATAGGGTTGCTATGAGATGGAACTGACTCAACGGCACACAACCACCACCACTACCACGTAATTCTTAAAATTCAGTACTAATGTTTTCTTATAATCTTATAATTCTGTGCTCAGAGTGGCATGGACCCAGTCTTCCAAGTTCTGGTCATTTATGAAAAGAACAAGATCCTTGGGTTTCCAAAGGTTAGTGGGAGACTTGATCTCACATGTCCTTGGCACTGACAAGATGAGGGGATGGTCCAACATTACTCAGCTCAATGCTGGAGGTGGAGCAGGGGTTACATTGCAGGGGTCTGATTCCAAACCTTGTATTCTTATCAGTGACTCTACAAATGTGCCTATTTCCTATGTAATTCATGTGATCTAGGGGGAAAATTAAGGAGGTGCTGAAAAATAAGTTTCTGTCTGTATCTCTGATATGTTACTTGGGTTCTCTTAGAAGAAGAAGGCTAACATATGATGATGAAAATGCTGATTCAGATCACACACTTTCTTTACTTTGATTCATTATTCTCTTGATCTTCTCAGAATGTAGAAGATTGTCATGCCTGACCCATGAGGGCAGGAAATCTCCTTGGACCTTAGCCTTTTATTGGACTCCATCTAGTTCCTATTGGGTGTGGGCATGGACGTTCTATGGAAGTATCCATATGTGATGGCTACAGCACAAGGACTTGAGTTTTCTGCATTCATATAGGACATCTGAGTCTGCTCTTCTAAGTCAACTTCCATGAACTTGATTTTTATCTTAAACTGTGGCAAAATCAGAATCTGCAGTTTTAAGGGACCATCATTTGGTTCTAGCTGATGTCATTTCTCCATTAGACTCATCTTTGTTGCTATCATCCCTGTATTCCTATTAGCTTGTGGCAATAGTTTTGAAATTCTCAGGTTTTACATAACATCAAACATCATTTTGAAGGAGAGTCTTGTTAGTGAAGAAGATGCAGGTTATATATTGAGAGGGGAGGTCAGCACTTCAGTAGTGACAAGATTCTTTCTGTTCCCATCTGGATCAGGAGTTAATACATGGTGTGGATTGCAATGAAATGAAGTGTATGATTTGTTGAATGTAAAACTGATGATCTGCTCTGTAAACCTTTCCTCAATTCACAATAAAAACTTTAAATATATAAATGAGAGATGTTTTTCTAGAACTGAACTGTGAGTAACCGCAAGATAGAATCACAATAAAGATGTGTGAAAAAAATTTCTCTTGTGCTTCTTGAAAAGAGAGTAGTTATTCTTCTAACAATGTGGGTGATAAAGAAATATCAAGGAAGAGAAAATCTCTGTCTAGAAGAGTAAAAGTGATTTGCTTGTTTTTAAAATTGTGCTTTTTATGTTTCCTAAAATAGATTACTGGATTGGTTGATGATGCATGGAGGAAATTGTAATCATGGTAATGAAACGATATACGATAGGTTGAATGTAAAGCTAATGTTCTCCCATGTAAACTATCACATAATTCGCAATAAAACATTAAAAAACAAATAGATTACTGGGGAGCATGATGGATCTGTAGGATAAGCACTGAACTGTGAAGCACAAGGTTGGTGGTTCATGCTCATCAGCTGATCTGCAGAAGAAAGATGAGGTTTTCTGCTCCTGTAAAGATTTACAGCCTTGGAAAGCCTATATAGAGTCATTACGTGTCAGAACTGACTAAATAGAAATTAATAAAATGGAATCTAAGAACTTTTATTCTATGCATTTATGTATCTTTACTTACAGTAAGAATTTTGTTTGTTTGTTCTTAAGTTTAGTCTTCGTAAATTTAGGTAGTGAGACTGGGGATAAAGAAAATAAATCAGGCCAACTTAAAAAAAAAAAAAAAAAGAATGGTGGTGAGTAGGGAAGACAGATTCACACGAATACATGCTCCCCATAATTAATTAGGAAGGTCTTGTCAGACATCTAAGTCTATCTTCTCCAGGAGCCAATTCAGCAGTCCTCCCTGTCTGTCCTGAGACCTTACTCTGTTTGTGGATATGCACAGTGGCTGCCAAGCAGTCTCGAGACTTTCTCTCCAGGAAGGTACCTGAACCACACATCATCTCTTATCCAGGGATGCCATGAACAGGTCACAGGGTGGTTGTGAGAAGAAGACATTTAAGATTTCTTGATGTCATAACTTCTGTTGTACTTTTGTTTGGAACTTTGTTTCTTTATCTCTCAGAAGAATGTGTGGACCTGTAACAATGGTTTCCAAATTTGTTTTAAGCTAAAGAATCATTTTCTCAAAGTAAATATAATAATTAAACTGAATTTATGTGAGTAGGTAACATTTCTAAATACTATTTTTTTTATTTTCTGCATTTTCCTCTTTTTGTGGTTGTATTTTCCAATTAAGGAATGGGGTCTTTGTTATATCTTAAATACAGAAATATTTTTCCATCCCCAAAATACAAGCTATGTGACATCACCTGCTCTTTCCTTGTAAAAGTTCCCAGGGTCATTAAGAAATTGTATTGCAGCATGGTGTGTGGACAAGGTCTGAGAAGGTATACCATTTAGGGTTGTACAATTCCAGAGGAAAAGAATTATTCCATGTCTCAAATGTGTGTAGTGTTGTGTGTATTGGTAGAAGGGAGGCATTATAGCAGGGATGGGACTGAAATTCAGCTCACAGACAGTGTCTCATATTAATGACAAGAGCTCAGAGCAGATGACTGCTGGGTGTACCTGGCACATGGAGCCCATATTCAGCAAAAGTCACACACTGTATGCATGGGTCCTAAGGAGAGAACTTACATGGTTGAGAAGTCTAGGTGTTTCTAGAAACAGTGAACATATCAGAAGCCATGATGGCCTAAGATTAGAGGCATTCTCCATTTTCTCAGACCACTTGGACCTCTGATTCTAGTTTGATTTTGCACAGGCAAGAACTTGCAGCAATGACTAGAATTATTTTCCTAATCAGTCCAATAGAACAGAAGTTTAAAGCCAGAGTCTAATGTGTTCAGGCAAATACATCAATGTTTTTTCCAAAATAGAATATGCACTATTACCTTCATGCCTACCCTTTCTTCTAGATGAAGTTGTTTCATTGAACACAGTTTGAAATTTTCATATCTAGAAACCACAGTCATTTCCAAATCCAGAGACTGTGGTTCCTGAGTCACATATAATCATTCATGCAAATTGTAACCAGCAGTGAAAAATACAATGCAAATATTTCTATTCCTATGTCTTTCCCACATAGAACTAGGCCATATGGACATATCTGGTGGAAGGGAGAGACATTAGACAATTTCAATGAAAATATCAACATAGATTCTTTTGGGTGCAGATGATAGACTTGTTATATTCATTTTAATGCCTGCCACTTAGTAGACATTCAAAATGTATTTGCTGGTTGATTGGTGGCAAAAATTGTGCTTTCCTTTCCTACTGCAGAGAAAAGTCCTTTCTGATTCCAATGGTTGATATAATCTGTGCTATTATCCAGTAACATTAGTCTAGAGGTCAGCAGTGGTCAAGATGGACAAACAGGAAGAAACTAAGGCTACCTTGTGGGCAGTGGACCTTGAACTTATGGTGGGCACTGAGCTGAATGTTGAGTTGAATGGGGGTTTATTGGTCCTGTCTATGTGAGTGTTGGGACCAAGGGTTCTGGAGAGTGACCCTACCAGTTCTATTCTCCTAGGACCCTGCCTAACACTTAGTCCCTCTGAGGTTCTTCTCTGACAGAGCATGAACTGAGTTGGTACCCCAGTTATATGACTGTTTTGGAATCCACACAGAACTCTGGATGTCCTCGGTGGTAAGATGAGGAGGGGGTCCAGTTCAGATCAGTGTGGTCTGGAGGTAACAGGAGTTGGTGGACTCTGAGAAGTCTCAATGGTAAGTGGGGAGAAAAAGTGACTAAGTGGTTGGAAGCTGGACTGTATCCTAAGTTCAGAGCAGGTCAGGGATGAGCAGGAAGGAGAACAAGCCCAGGAGTCAATGAAGAACATCTCAAGGACCCCTCCTTCCAAAATTGCCAACTTTCCTGATTATAAAAGGGAAATGTTCTACTGTTGCTCTTCCCTGAGACCCATGGCATCCCTTCTTGACCTCCAGTACCCATTGGTCATTCACTTCTTGTCTGCCATTTATTACACAGGAAGGAAGTAAAATGTTCACCCAAGCCCAGGATCAGAGAGGTTTGTGTTTCTTTTTGAGGGTCTTCAACCTCAGCTCTGGAGAAGAGCAGGCCATGGAGATACAGGAATGAGTACGAAGAAGATGCATGATTACTTTTCATGGGCACTTGGAGACATTATGGGGAGAAAAGAAAAAGCAGGGCAAAGAGCAGCGTTATGTTCTCAGCGTACTTATAGCCTAGAGTTGGTGATCTTGAAAGAAAGTCAATCAACAAGCCAGACAGCAAGCCTTTTCTCTCATCCAGGACACATTTATTTAGATGCTGGATCTCCCGGAATATGATCAATCATAGAGAGGCTTAGTCTGATTTCTTCATTTGGAGGCTCTTTATGGTCTTCTTTATCCATTTCAGGAAAGAAGAGATTTTGGTGAAGACCCCTGGAGGAGTCCCATTTTTGTTTCCATAGGAGACAATGCCCTGAGCCACGTTGTCACACACGAGCGGGCCTCCAGAGTCTCCCTGTGAACAGAGAGGGGAAGGACTGAGCTGGTTCTCCTCCTGGTTCTGCTGCCCTGTCAAGTTTCACACTCCAGGATAAGGTCACCTTGTATGATGTGAAACATAGGGCCTGTGGTCCTGTTTTTTATTACTTGATATAGATGGAAAGCTATTTTCTATTATGTGTGCCCTGGGATGGGGTAATATACTACCACTAAACAAACAAAAGAAACAAAACAATACATACAAAAGTTGCTGTCATGTTGATTTAGCTTCCTGGCAATCTCATGTGTTACAGGGTTTTCTTTACAGGACACCTCTGCGTGGGCTTGAAGCATCAACTCTAGGTTAGCAGCTGAACACTAACAGTTAGCACCATCCAAAGACCTTTGGAATGGGGCAGAGAGTTGCCAGTTCTTCCTTTTGGAAGAGGACCTTTTTCAGAGTCACCTTTGGGAGGCTAGCAGAATCCTTAGTGACTACTTAGCAAGGCTCTTCCCATTTCTCTTCCCAAGGAAAAGAGGCCACCAGCTAGTGGGTGAAGGAGTCTCCTCACTGAGTGCGTCTCCTGGTCCCAAATCTTCCCCAACCATCCATCTCTCCAAAGCCAGGCTAGGTAGATGCTACATCTCACCTTATAAGAAACCGCCTTTTTCGTTGGGTCTCCCACACATATCTCAGAGGTGTTCTTATAGTGGCTGGGGAAGCAGGATGCACACTCCTGGTTCTTCTGCACAGTCAGCTTCACCTCATGCAGTTTGGATGTTGGAATTCCCAGTGAGAGCCAACCCCAACCGGCCACACTGCACACCTTCCCTGGCATTATCTGGGCGTTTTCCTCAGGTAACTGCAGTATGCCTACAACTTTTGTCAATTTGGCCTTTTCTTTCAACTGATAGGGAGAAACAAGAAAGTCTTGGTCAGCAACAGCCTGCTGAGTCTAGAGACCCTGACTGACTGCACTGTATTCCTGCTCATCCAAGGCCCTGCAACTAGCCAGGCAGCCAGGGTGGAAAGATGGAAAATACGGGGGTCATGTTGGGAGGAGAAACTCCTTGGACCCTGGGGAGCAAGGAGCTGCAGGGGGTTATGACTCACCTGTAGTAGCATGATGTCACTGAAAAATGTTTTCTCATTATAGTCTGGGTGGGGAATGGCTCTTCTCACAGAGATGTGCTGCTGGGTCTCTTCTTGCTTGTTGATGTCATGGGCACCCAGGGTGACATTCATGGAACTGTAGAGTGTAGAGTGTAGAGTGTAGAGGAGTCATAGGAGCTCTAGCCCAGAATCTGGGGAGAGCAGACGATAGCTAGGGCAGGACAGGCGTGTAGCTGATGGGGAATGGAGAGGACGGGAGGGCTTGGGACTGAACTCACTATGCCCTCTGCTACTTGTAGCTCATCATGAACGTTGATGTCATTGGTAAGTTCACCAATATTTCTCAGGGATCAGTTACCACCAAGAAAACTTGCAAATTTGTTTGCATTTTGACCCTAAATACATGCTTCTAGTCTGTCTAGGCTGTGTTTCTTCAGCAATACCTCTGGCACAGACCTGTTCCTCTTCCCACAAATTTAACTGGCCTCTTTCTCACTCTGTGTTGTGAGGAGCCCTTGAAGAAGGTAAGGCTTCCCAGGGGAGTTTGGGCTCTGTGCTGCTCCTCACCTTCCATAGCAGTGAGCAGCCGTCAGCACAAAGTCTTCTTGGATCAGGAAACCACCGCATGTCATTTCATTGTATTTCAAGAACTTAATGTGTGCCATGTAGGGACGAGAGTGGGGCTGTGCCTCATGTCCCCCGATGATCTCCCCTGAAGGAGAATTTTGGTCTGCTGTGTGCACCTGGGATGGCCTGAGATGGTGTGGCTGGGGTTAGAGGTCTTAGTCACCTGCTCTGATCAAGGGAAGAACAGTCTTTGGTCTCTAATCTGCTGCACGTGGTTGGAGGTGAACATAGTTGTCTTAGGGACAGCAAAGTTCCAGAAGTTCAGAAAATTCCCCTCTTTATCTTTCTTGGTTCTAAATGAATTCCTAAGACCCCTTAGACTCCTGTGATATCTGTGACTGGACTGCTTTCAAATGGCCAGGATATAAGTTCAGGGATCTAAATTGTATTAGATCCCATTTCCTACAATCTGACAGGAAATGTCTATTGGCTGCATGAAGGAATAGCTACCAATTACTGGATGAGGGTTGCTTGGGTAGTGGGATTCTGCAAAGCAGACAAGTTTGGGTCTGCAGGAGATAGAGACCTGTGATTGAAAAGAAGGAAGATGCTGAGGCAGGAGAAGAAAATGACTGAGGGGTCTTGGGGCAAAGCAAAGATAAACAGTGTTAAAGAGACATTGGCTCTACCAATCCCAGAGTCAGCTGAACTGTGTCCGTCTCTTCCAGGCAGACGGGTGAATGAAGGGAGGACTTGTGTCATCCCTGACACAGACGCCAGATCCACTTTACCCTGTGCAAGGACAATAGAGATTTTCTTCTTCTTGTTCCCTGCTCATTTTCTAGCACTTCTAGGAAAATTCCATTTTCCAGATGAAAATTTTATGTAGAACCTTGGGAAAGAATATTACCCTTGACTCATCTTAAGAACAGATATTCCTGCTTGTCCCACAGATAGCTTATCCAAAATTATACTGGTGGTGCAATGTGGGGCTGGAGGTATGAAGAATCTCCTTAATATCTAGATGGATCAGGAATGTGCACAAAGAGAAGATCAGTATCTCCTATGGCATGGGGTGGGGCCTGGAGGGTGGGTCAGTCACTCACCTGTCTCTGTCCTTGGTACCATAATGCAGGCTAAGAGGAACAGAAGCAGCTGCATCTTCACAGGCTGATTGTCCTGGTCTGAGTTGCTGGGGCTTCCTCCTGCCTTGCTTTTATGCCCAGGAGAGGAAGAGTGTGGAGGTGGTCCCAGTGATCTCGTGGTCCACTCTGGTTTTGTGATGTTTTATCATAAAAAGCCTTTCTACAAAAGATGTCCTTCACCCCCACCCCACCTGGCCTGCTGATGTTTATTTTGTGTGTTTTGTGGGAGAGTTAAGGGGTCACCACATCAGTACCCACAGCTGATGACTCAGAGCAGGGACAGAGGGTAGAAGATGGTGACTGTAGATTGTAGCATTCCCCAGTAGAAGTACTAGAGTCTCAGAAACCAGTGTCCCCAGTGATAGAACTCCAGTGGTTTCGTTTCAACATTGCTGAGTCCATCAGGGTAGTTTTCTTTGCAAATGTTTATTTAGGCCGTTTTCTGTGCCAGGACCAAGCATGTTGGAAATATGTTTCCTTTCCTTAGGGAGCTCTCTGGTGGAAGAGATAGAATGATTAGTGACCAGAGCACAGTATGGTAAGGGTTATGGGAGAGGGACCCATAAGGCAGTAAGGAGGTAGGGCTATATACTAAACTCATATAAGAACCCATTCACCATCATAACTCCTCTCTTACGGATTTTTTTTTTTTTTAACATCCTTTATTTCAAATCAAATGCACAGAGTGACAGAGACTACCTGTTCCAATGTTTTTTGTGTTTTCTTTTTAAAAGCTTTTATTGTGAATTGAGTGATGGTTTACATGGCAGGACATCAGTTTTGCACTCAAATAATCATATTTTCTTTCATTATGATGATTGCAATCCCCTCTATGTGCCATTGGTTAACAGCATTTGCCTCTATTCCCTCTTTGTTTGTTTTTTGACGTACACAAAACATGGCAGAATATATAATCATTAAACAACCAAAGGGCACATTTTGCAAGCCTGCCTCCTGACCACCAGCACACAGTCTTTTTCTTTCCATGAGTCAAGAGTCCTCAGCAGCTCTATCTCTCTATGATATCATCTCTGCCTCCATTTCTGGTGTCACTGCTTCTCTGGTTAGGATCCCATGTTCTGCTCATGTTCTTTTCTGTTGATGGTCCTAGGGTCCTCTGCTTCCTGGAATTGAAGATAAACCACTCTCCCCTTTTTGTTACAAAATTTCTACCTTTACAGTTGTGACAATCACAATGAGTCTTGACAATAATCACTATTGAATCAAAAGGATCCTATCCCCATCTCTTTTCACCATACCAATGTAGACAAGATGAAAACTATTCAGTGGGAATTCTACCTTCCATCCCTCACTCAGAAACTAAACTCCCTCTTGAAAACCTGTAAGCAAGCCACTTTGTGCCTTTATAGCCCCCCACAACCCATTTTATGTGGCCAACGTCTAAGTTGCCCATTCCTATCAACCCTGTGTACTTGATATGAAGACTCCTTCCCTCTCGTTGGTATTTTGAGCTACTAATCCATATATAAAAGTCAAGTTCATCAAATTGTAGCAATTTTCGCTGTTTCCTATATCAAATTTATTTATCTTCCTCTAGTTGAGTTCTGATCATCAAACCATCTAAGCTGGGTCAAATGGATACTATCTGCAAGTTTGGGTGTTCTTGTGCATCTCCCTTCACTTCATATCAGCTGTTTGCTTCACTCTCAGCTCTAGCCCCTAGTGGCTAGGTCAGTGTCCATGGCTCAGGAGTTCCTAAGTCTCCCTAAACTTCGAACCAGCCAGCCCTTCCTCTTCTCTCTCTTATCTCGAGGCCAACAGGAGTCTATGGAGCATGGTTGGACTCAGCCCAGGTTTTCATTACTACCTTTCCTCGACTTCCACTCACAAGTAGACCACACTATCATCAGCAAGTTTACAAGCCTGCTCACGTATTCTCTTTGAATTTCTGTCTTGGAAGGGGATTTGCCCTGAAGGCCCTTGATGACTTATCCAGATGGCTCCCAGGAGAACAGCTGGCTTGTTCTTGTAAAATCTAAACAGTCTGCTTTTCTTTCTTTCTTTCTTTTTAGTTTTTTCTGTTGGTCTTTCTTTTAAGAAATATCTTCTGTTCCTCTAGCATCTCTGGATTGGTCTGCATGTTCTTTCAAGTGGGAATATCCCATCCCAGAAGGTTCTGAATGGGACTCAAGATTCCACTTAAGGCTCTATACTCTATAAAGGTTCCAGAGGAAGTCTATTTCACAGGGCAAGTTCTAGAATCCCTTTTAGGTATTTCAATCAGTTATGGCTAAAGACCAGCTTATAGGCTTTCTGTAATCATGTTTCCCATTATTCCTTTCTATCCCACTTAAATGTCTATTTTACTATAGTAGAAAAGGGAAACCAATATCCACAGGACAGTCAAGCATCTTAATATCTTCCCTGTTTTACCCATTCAGACTCTGCCTCGATCCGTGTATCACAGAATCATGTTATTCCAAGGTTGAGTATTTCCCCAAAGTTTTTAACAAAATCTTGCACTAGACTTTTATTAACCTAGGTTAAGGAATCACTGTGACCCCAGAGTTGAATCCCCTGATTGACTTGAGTCTTTGTGTTGGATGGGGTGGGTCACACCCAAGTCCATGAACTTAAAGTGGGAAAGTGCTGGTTCATCCATGGAAGGTCAATTTAGTCAATTCCTGGTACCATGGGAAGTGGGAAAGTGTTTCTGGCATCTGTATACCAAGCATTGCCCTTTTAGTATTCTCTGTCCTTTGTTCAGAGATCCATACTTCTGATGTAACAGAACTTGTTGTTGTATTACTTTTTAACACATGGGATCCCCATGAGTTGAAATTCACTTGATGGCCACTAAAAGCAAGCTTATTATAAGTCCATAGAAAACATTTGCTAAAGTACTCTGATGACTTCACTACAATGGAAGTAAAGGATTGTTGTTGCAAAACAGCCCAAATTCAATTCTGTTAAAAGAACAATTATGTGTGGTTCCACTTTGGTGGCTTACGTTTTCATTGTGATATTCTATATATTTGGAGATTTTTCTTTAAGGATTATTATATAATCAACATACATAATTTCACTCTAAAGTTCTTCTCTTATCGATCACAAACCTCTTTTTAGAATTTAATTTTCCCAGTAGTGTACATTTTAAAATTAAAATTATCTTTCTGATTGTAAGGAGCAGTGGGCTAAGAATTAGGCTGCTATCTACAAATTTGGCAGTTCATATCTACCAGCCACAGTCTCAGAAACTCTATGAAGCAGTTCTACTCTATCTTTTAGGGTCTCTATGAGTCAAAATGAACTTATCATTTATCTAACTATCACCCATATACAGTATGATCTCAATACAGGTATATGGAAAGCAATTTCTTTTTATTTTTGTTTAATTTTGTAGCATAAAAATTTCCCCCATACTCTTAGAATCTATTGATTAATATCACTCGCTCTCTTTTTATCTTATAAAAAATTTAACATGCAAGTAATTTACATAATTATTGGAAATTTGAAAATCTAATCTAAATAAAAAGCTATTTAAGTTACTTGATTTCATATAACTCTTTGATAAT